CGTTGCTGGGGATGCCAGGCAAGCCCATGCTCTGATCTCTTCTTGGCAGACATCTAGTCGTCCTTGTGACTTCCCCCTGTTGCAGCGCTCCTTTCCAGCTGAGGTGAGCAGGCTTGCTGGCCACGCCGCTGTCCCACACACCGCTGTCCCGTAACCTCTGTCCCGTAACCTCTGTCCCACACACCGCTGTCCCGTAACCTCTGTCCCACACGCCACTGTCCCGTACCCTCTGTCCCACACACCGCTGTCCCACACACCGCTGTCCCACACGCCTCTGTCCCACACGCCACTGTCCCACACGCCACTGTCCCGTACCCTCTGTCCCACACGCCTCTGTCCCGTACCCTCTGGTTTGTCCCGTTCATACACTCGACTCACGCCTCTGAACCTTGGGAGTCTTAATATTTCTGGTAGCTTCGAGTCACATTCTGACCAGGACTTGGTCATGGCTGTGTATATGTGTGTGTGTATTCACGTGGACATCTTTATGTACACATGTGTTAGACATGTGTTAGGGATCACTGCTCCCAGCCTGGAACCCTGCCCTGCATGGTGATTGACTCCATGGACAGTTGCTGCTTGTCTTACACCCTTATTCTCTGTTCAGGACCACCGGGAGGTACCTGGGGATGGAGTACATGGAGGGTTGAGTGTATTAATGGCTTTGGGTATGGAGATGGGGAATTCAGAGAAGTTGCCAGTCGTGATGGCCTCTCCAAGTCCTGTCTGTCCCTGTAAGGTAGATGCAAGGCCGGAAGCCCTGGATGAGCTTCCAGCCAGAACCTGCTGGATGCTGGGACTCCAGTAATTGGAGTGCAGCTCACATTTAGCCCAAAGGCCTGTGACTGGAGGATCTTAATTCCAGGATTCCCTGTGATCATACGTGTGACCACTGTGGACAGCTGGTGCCTCTGGAGACCTGGCCAGCCAATCGTGTAACCTACTGGTTTGCCTTTTGCAGCCGGGCCACCTGCCCAACCCCCGTGGGAGAGAAAAGCTGCAGCCCTTTTAGGGGTCAGTGCCGTGTTGGGATACAAAAGGGAACGCAAGCAATTCTATCACGCAGAGGACGAGGCCCAGCCTGGCTGCACAAGAGCCCAGAAGTGCCACCTCCTCGTAGTTGATGTGTTCTTCCACACTGCATCCCACCCTCCGCCATGCCGGGCAAGGCCCTGGCACCTTTTCCAGAGTGACTGACTTAGAGGAAATTCCATTTACCTGTACTTTTTTTGCGCTTTCCTACCGAAGATGCGAACGTGTTTGTCTTGATAAAAAGTTGGATGGCGTGTGGAAGACTCAGACTCACGGCACTCCTGTCTGTCACCCGGCTCCAGACGCAAGGGGAAGTTCTCTGGAGGCCCTTGATGTTGCTCTGTGGACTCACTCCAGCTGGGGAGAAGGCAGCATCCCGCGTTCTGGAAGCCCTTAGTGTGTCCCTTGCCCCTGTCTGCACCTGTGTGGCGACTCTTCTGCTCTGGCCCCCTGCCTACTTGGGACTCTAGCGTTAGGGGGATCAGGTCTGGAGAGTGGCTGCTTAGCCTGGTGATGCCCAGGTTGGGGTTTTCTATCTCCTTCCTGCCAGGGTTGGGGACCACCAGGTACATTTCATCTCCTGGCACGCGCACATATCTCAAAGGCTCTGGAATCTGTTTCCAGTGGACACTGGAGGCCCCAGCGATGTGTGGCAAATGGAAAGAGGGTGCCTCAGAAGGCAGGACAGACCTGGGCCAAAGGCCGGCCCGACAGGGGCTTCTGGACATTTGCTCTTTGCGGGAGCATGGTGCAGGCACGTGGGAGCTGGTAGGGTGTCCCAGGAAAGAGGGTCATGTTTGTTGGGTGGCCCTGGGAGACTTGACCCCCTCCACCTGGGCACAGGCTTTTCTGTGCCCAACATCCTGGACCACAGATGTCAAGCTGAACTTCTCTGTTGTCTTGGTCCTAGAGAGGCCTTGTCTAGGGAAGCTGCTGTGTGAAGTAGGGGCCACCATGGCCCTTGCTGGTTCGCAGAGGGGGTGGAGAGCTGTGACTGGAGGTGGCACTGGACCTGATGGCTTCTTTAGATCTTTCCGAGCTGGAGCCTCCAAGGCTTCTGGCCTTATTTCCTGTAGGGATGCCTTGGAATGCCAGGACCATCTTCTAGTTAGTATGGCCAGCATGCCATACTAACTTGTCTGGCTCTACCCCAGCCTGTGGCACCACGTAACGCTCCATGGGGTACAGGTGGGGTGGACCTGCCAGGCGCTTGGCCTGTATCTGACCTTCTTGCTGACCCTAGCTCAACCTGGAGATTTCCAAGCCCTTGCCTTGGCGTTCCCAGGCAGATGTTCTAGGGCTCAGTATACCCTGAAGATGAGGAAGAGGCTTCTGGGGAGAAGCACGTTGGGGCTGAGGGCAGGAAGATTGGAGGGGTTCAGACTCTCCTCCCTGGGAAAGGAGGGTTACAGTGTCTCTGGGTCCACCAAGATTGGAGGCAGGTCTCCATGGCTTGTCTTAAGGACACCGGGGCAGGTGCCCAGTCTTTCCTTAGCCCAGATGTGCACATCTGTAACGAAGTTCCTCCTCTGAACCCCTGGAGGGCTGGACCCCCACGGCTTCTTCCACTGTGGCATTGCCACACTTTGGTCTGTCGAAATCTCAAGGCCAGCAGACTGGCCGGACACTGTGGGTAGGCAGAGGGGGGACTCTGGTCACAGACAGGACCTCTGCAGGCCTGAGCATACCATAGATCTCCAGGTGTATCTCTCTAAGAAGGGCTGTCCCCTGCATGGGAGCGGCCACCATAAGCTTGTCCCCCAACCCAGTGCCCCTTGTGCTAATCCCACCAGGCAAGACAGTCAGCCCTGCTGGCCTCATTTGGAGCTGTACTCACCTCCTTTGCCCCAGGTGACAGAGCCTGACACTGGGGTCTGGAGGCACAGGGGGAACAGTATGGCCTGTGACTCTCAAGGGTTCACCCTTCCCCTGATGACATCTCCCAGGAGTCTGTGCTCTGCCTGTCTCTGCCTCTTCCTATGCTACACCCACCCACCCTGACCCGAGCCCCCTGCTGCTGGGAAGGTCTGTGTTCCCCATGACCAGCACCTAGGAGGTTTTGGAGGCTAGATTGCCCAGGCAGCTGGGGAGAGGAAAGAGGTCTCTCAGCTGTCTCATGCCGGAGAGTGATGGGGGCAGAGATGGCATCTTGAGGCTGGCTCTGTTTTGCTGATAGAATTGGGGTCCTCGTACCCAAGCTGTCTGAGCCACAGTGACATTACATTTCCAGCCACTCTGACTCACTAGCTGCTATAGGATTCTGTGGAAGGTGTGGGGTGTCTCTCAGGTGAGACACAGGGCATTTTGGTCAGACCTACAACACCTGAGGGCACCCCTTCGTACACTCCTGCCCTGAAGTGCTTCCTCTGTAGAATTCCTATACTCCAGGGCTTTCTGTGTGCCAGGGCTCCCTCCCTCACCCTCTGGGTGCCCCCAAACCCATACAGGGTTGAGAGGCTCAGTATAACACCTGCAACTGTCCCCTAAGTCTTGAGGTCCTGCAGGGGGCATGCTGACGGTGGGCTAGAGGGCCAGAAATCCTGTAGTCCCACAGAGTGGGCAGGTGTTGATGCTCGGAGCTTCTGGTATGTGTCAAGGAAGGAAGGGGGTTAGGGGCCCAGCTAACCCTCCCTTTACCTTCGCTGTCTTAGCCTGTCCATGAGGGTGGACAGCCACCCCTAAGGCGCTCCCGCACAGAACACAGCATGGAGGAGGAAGCCGATCCGCCCAGTTTATAAACCCGGAAGTTTACAGGTTGTGGTACGTCAGCCCAAAGTCGTCGGTGTCCTTGTGTTTATGGATATTTTCCCTCTTAATTTTCAGATTTTTTTTAAAACAAAGTATTTTTTTAGGTGCGATAACCCGGAAAGGGCCTGTTGGGTGTGTGTGTATGTCCTGAACTCCACATAGCCACACAGGGACCAGAGTCCAGCTCGGAGGTAGCTCCTTTACCTGGCCTGGAGAGGAGGGAGGGCCCCCTTCTGCCTGCCAGGGTCAAGCTAGACTCTACAGGGAGTTCTCTTCCTGCCCAGGCCAGGCTGGCATCTGTCCTGCCGCTGTCCCATCCAGTACACCCCGGTGAAGCAAGGATAGGCACTTGGGGCTAGCCAGAGCGTCTCAGTGGGTCCCAAGGGCACGTACCCCAGCTCCTCTGAAGGCTGTCCTGGGGGAGGCTGGCCAGGCTAGCCAGAGCGTCTCAGTGGGTCCCAGGGGCACGCACCCCAGCTCCTCTGAAGGCTGTCCTGGGGGAGGCTGGCCAGGCTAGCCAGAGCGTCTCAGTGGGTCCCAGGGGCACGGGCACATACCCCAGCTCCTCTGAAGGCTGTCCTGGGGGAGGCTGGACAGGCTAGCCAACTGTTATCTTCACTTGTACTCTGTGTGTATGTTTTGGTTTCTGTGTTTTAATAAACCCTTTGGGAAGAGATGGAGTCGTCGTAGTTCTTAGTCTTGCTGGTTTAGGAGAGGGAGGTGGTGAGTGGCGGGGGAGGTGAGAATGCTTTCCAAATCTTCTACATTTCGATCTGCACCCCTGGCTCAGGGCTCACAAGGAAGGAGAGAAGACCCCAACTGGCAGGGTGCTTGAAGAGGCACCGCCTACTGGCACCTTCAGACACACTGCAGCGACCCAAACCCATCAATGTCAGAACAGCAGCCAGTTGGTCTCTCAAGGCATGGAGCCTTCCAGCCATCAGCTCTGGGCCTCTGGAGATGTTGGAAAGATATGTGTATGATGGGGGAGAGGTGCCCGTATCTCCCATGGGCCTTAGGGATGGCATCTGGGAGAGGCAGGGTGGATGTTTTGACCAACCCATCCCATCTCTCTACCCTGTATTTGGGCCTGCCCTTCCATTTGGCCTCAGCTGTCAAGCTGGGTTTAGGGGTGGGAAACCCAAGACCTCAGCTCCCCGCGGTCGGTGGCTTTGCCCTCCAGCTGGCGCTGTGTGTGTGGAAATGAGAGGACGGAAGCATGGAGACCGAAGGGCTTGGATTTTATTTGTCATTCCATAAATATGGGCTGCACCTTGGTCTGAGTCTGTTGGGAAGCTGGAGGCGCTTGCGGTCGGCCTGGTGGGGTGCAATTAGCAAGGAGCCACGCTTGTTAAAAAATGGGGGGAGGAAGCACATTATGTACATGATTGACAAGAGCAGGCACACGGGTGTCCTGCGGTGCCTCAGGACCTTGGGTCTGGGATAGCAATAGCAGGGCTCCATGTGCCAGATCCCCCAAACAGCCCCCTCCTGTATCAGGCCTGGCTGGCTGTGCCGACCAACAGGCACCTGGGGCCAGAGGAAGGGACATGTGTTGCCATGGAGGAAGGAACTGGCCTTAGACCCTTCAAGGGCCCAAGGCCAGCTCCCCCTGTATAGGCTGCCCGTATGTGTCTTCTGTGGTCTCCCAAGACCGTCCTACCCAAATCCCTCCATGGAGGCAGGTGATCCCCAACTCCTCCAAAGAATATAAGGAAGAAAATATCCCAGAAACACTTTGTTAAAATGTCATCCAGGAGGCCGCCTGCAGCTAGGGCTCACCCTGCAGCCTGTCTTCCTGTCTCTTGCACACACCCAGCAGGGGCTTAGCTCTGAGGTGTGGCTCACAGGCGGCACCAGCTCCTACTGTGGGCATCCCTGCATGCCTGGTCCACATAGCAAGCAGGGTTGAGGTCAGCTGTGTGGACGGGGCTGGCTACTTCCTGATGGGCCACTGCAGGGCCCTGTCCAGGAAGCAGGGTCCTCTAGTTCAGGCATGGAGGTGCCAGAGCCTATGGCCTCCATCCCCACACCCACAGGGCTGCTTCTGAGGTCTCAGGGCTTGGGGCTGTGAGCAGTGGTGAAGGTCTGAGAGCCTGGGGTGTGCAGGGGGGTTGTGTGTGTGAGAGAGAGGAAGCTGCTCATCCTGCTGCCTTCCTTCCTGCCTGTCTCGTTCCTCCATCCTCCCCACCCTGCCCTAGCCTCTGCCCAGCTCTGGCTGGACAACAGATGGTAAAGAGCGACAGAGAGGAGCCTTGCAATAGCAGCTGCCGAAGAGAAGCCGGGTGCTGTGTCTCCAAGGTGTATACCTGGGGACTGGCCACTGCCTGTCCAGGGCAGGAGGCTTGGGTCTTCTAGGGAGTCAGGGAGCACACATGGGTAGGACCCTGTCCCCAAAGCATCATAGGACCATGGAGACTGAGCCTCCAGGCAGCATGCCCTGCTCAAACCTGCAGGCTTCCTGGTACCACCATCTGCCTAGCTCCTACTGCTAAGGGGTTGCCCACCCTGCCCTTTCTCCTTCTCCGCAGCCTGTCCTGGGCCAGCATGGCAGGATGCAGCAGAGAATGAATAATCCTGGCCATCTTTTTTGGGGAGTGGTCCCTGGGGATCTTTTCTTACAACCCGGGGATGGTTACTGGAGTTCTGCCTCCTCCCCCAGTTTGCAGCAGCAGAAACCCCAGGGAGGCCCCCCTCACTGAAAGCTCAAATCACAAGCCCACGGCCCCGGCACAGCAGAGGTATCAGAGGGAGGTCTGAGAGGAACATGGTCTTGTGAGCATGGGCCCAGTCTGCTGCGACCTGCCTGTAGCATGGCCAGCTGCCACACCTGTCTACAGTTCTGGACAGAGGGGCATACATCAGAGGGCTCCATCCAAGCCTGCTGCTGGGTTTCCCTGCCGTGGGGATCTGGAGCTGAATGCAGGGTGGAAGACACTGGGAAAGCCAGCTGGGATCCTTGCCCCTGCCAGCAAGGGTAAGGGTGGGGGCCAAGGATCAGGTAGGTGGGTACAACCCTAGCCAAGGCCCACTGGGCATGTGGGTCAGGTCAAGGTCTGGGAAGAGTGGGACCCCTGGCCAGCCCTGAACAAAGTGCCCGGTGTCCATGGAAAGAGGGGGGCCCTGCCCTAACCACCAGGATCTGGCTGCTGGAGAGGTGCTAGGAAGTGGCGGGCCCCTCTCTGGAGGCAGGGGTTCTTAGCAGAGAGGCCGGCCCTGCCTGCTCTGAGGATTAGAACTCCATTCGGCCAAGACGTCTGGAATCTCCATGGAGGGCCTTCCTGAAGGATAAGCAGAGGTGGAAGGCTGGGGCGGGAGCCTTGGAATGTCCTCCCTACTCGATGCCATCTCCTGGCACCTGTCAGACAGTATCCAGTGAAGAAGCGGCAGGTGGCATCTGGCGGTGACTTTGGAGGTCGTTTCCTGGTGACGTCCGGGCATAGTGTTTTCCCCTTGGATACGAACCACACTCTGCATTTGGCTTTGAAACAGCAGAAGCGAGCGAACAGAGACGACGAGGGAACCGGAAACTGTCCGAGCAGGTGGTGGGGCTGACTTAGGATCTATAGTCCTTTTTGCTGTAGGGTTTATTGCCCAGAATGCTATCGATCTCGTGGACGATGGAAGACGACAATTTTGGAAGGACCTGCGTGCAAGGGTAAGAGGCTAGCCTGGGCTGAAGGAGAGGTGGGCGACTCTTTCCATCATCTCCCTGTCAGCCAGGAATCCAGCTCCAGCTCCCACCATTAAGTCCCATCAGGTCTTTGGTCCTGTCCTTGGCTTCCATCCGTACCAAGAGCAGAAGCCGCCTGAAAGCTCAGCTGGGTCCTGCCCTGCTCCATGTCACCAACCTCCAGGGTTTCATCTCACCCATGTCCCTGCAGCCATGCAACTCCAGGGTCTGCCCTAGGCTCCAGTCCTCTGACCTCCTAGTCCCCAAAGGGTTCTTTGATGAGTGGCTGCACAACCCCCTTCCCACCCCACTGGAACCTTCGTGTCTCTCTCTGCCCTGCATTTCGGCATCGTTGCCTAACTCTGGCCTCTCTGCCCTCAGTGGTGGTTGCCTCACGACACTCAATCTTCTTACACTGTTTACATCTGTTCCTGTGAGGAACAACTCCGCAGGAGCAGGGCTCTCTGCCGTTCCTGTAGGCCCCATGCTCCTGAGCCACCACCAGGGCCCCCTTCTCACCTGTATTGCGCCAATGTTCTCCATAAGCTGCTCTGCATTGGAAGCACCCAGAAGCACAGAGCTGACGCCCTCGTTCCTCAGGCACCAGGCTGTGGGCACATGACCAGAGGTGAGGGAGGTACCCTCTGCAGGACCTGCCTGGCTACACCTGGGCAGAGGAACTCAAGCTCTCGCGGGGGTCACGGGGCGCTCTTAGAATGCTCAGGAGTACCGCGTGAGAGTTTGCCCTAGGGGTATCTAGAGAAGGTTCTGGGGATCTCTGTTTCTGCTGGAGGGGTGGCCCAAGTGTTCAAAGATTCCTTCCCTTCCCCATGACCCAGGCTAGTTGGCTGAGGGTGTAGGCTAGTGGTCTGTCTTTTAAAGAGTCAAAGATCTGAACTCTGCCCCAGGAGTCCTTACCTTGGCCTTCAAGGGGGTGCTGTCTGGGGTCCCTCACAGGTGTTCCCCCCACCATGCCCAGAGCCCATTACCTATGGCCAGCTGGGGGAGGGTGCAGCCTAGACGCTCGGCAATGGCCTGCAGTTCCTTCAGCTTGGCCTGCTGGCGCCGCCCCTCCTCACTCAGGATCTTGTCCTTCAACCACTGGTAGCCCTGGGAAGGGACAAGCTCCAGGTAAGGGAAGCTGATTCTCCACAAACATCAGCTCTGTTGGCACCTGGCCTCACGCTTACACTGGGCCAGACTTACACCCTTCCGGATCCTGAAGGTCTGTTTGTGGACTGACCAGAGCCCCTGAGGGGCCTCCTAGGACCCAGGCTTGGGAGAGAGTAAGACCTAGAGTTGGGACCCTAGGGTGCTTGTCTCCCAAATATGATCGCCCTTATGCTTCTTGTGTTCAGCAAGGGAACAGAATTTGATTTGGGGACAACTCTGTGCCCTACGTTTTGTCTGGGGTCTCTGTGATGGTAGAGTGGGGGACATCATAGGGACTGGAGCATAACCTAAGGTGGTAGTGGACCAGACTGTTGAATGTCGAAGCACAGAAGGGGCAAATGTGTGTGTGTGTGTGTGTGTGTGCACGCGCGTGTGTGTGAGGTTCATGGGCCTGCTAATCTAAGGTCTGCCCCATGGATGGGAGGTCCCTACAGACTTGGAACCCCTTCTGATGCCAGCTGGGCTCACCTTCAGGGAGGCTCTGGAGTAAGGCGGGATACCGCTGTCATACTTTCCCGAGACGATACCACAGGCCAGAGGGGACCAGGTCATGGCACCCACTCCTGAGAGAGAGAGAGCAGGTGAGGTTAAGCTGGGGCCCTGAGGGGGATGAGGAGTGGGGCAGGCAGGGTAGGCTGGTACCCACCAATCTTGTGGAACAGCTCTGGCAACTGGACCTCCACCTTCTCTCTCTGGAACATGTGGTACTCTGCCTGCTCGCAGATGGGCGGGATCAGGTTGAACTGCCGGGCCACCGAGTAGGCCTCCTGAGGTACAGAAGGAGAAGGCTGCGTCAAGGGACCTGGGGGGGCCACAGGGAAAAGACACAGAAGCCTCCCAGGCCCTGATGCTCCCTCCACCCCCAGCTTTCCTGAGAGTCTGAGGCAGACCCCATGGGAGCCAGGAAAAGGAGGTAGGCTTTGGAATCCTAAGACTTGATGGTTTTTGGAGGAATCACAATGTAGTAAGGCCTCAGGTTAGGGGTGAATGGGAGCATGGTGCCTCAGTGTCCCCATTTGTCATAAGGGGTCAATGAGCCACAGGTGTCTGAAGTCCTTCTAATAGGAGCAGCTTGTGCCTGGCACTCAAGGCCCTGGACCTATGATGAATTTGGGGGTTGTAAAAGCCTTCCTGGAGGCAACAGCTACATAAGCTAACTGGTGAAGTTAGTTAGGGATCAGAAGCTCGGGGCCTTGGCCTGAAGGCGGTCCACAACTGCCAGAGACAGTCCTATCGTGGGGACATGCCTGCCACTTAGAGCGGCCCTGCTTCTGCTCTGGTCTGAAACTCAGCTTCTCCCTCGAGGGAGTGAGGTGAAGACACTGACATCTTTCCCAGGGCTGGCTGGGTGGTCAGCAAGATGTCTGACCCAGGCTCGCGGATCCACTCAAATGCTGAGTTACACCAGGGGCTTCCGAAGTCCCCTGGGATTTTAAAAAACAAAAATCCTGTTGCACTTCCTGCTTGCAGCAGTAATGCGTGGCTCACGGAAGCTACAGCAGCAGCAGCACTGCATGCCTGGAATGCAGGGACACTGGGCAGGGCCAGGGGAAGGGCAGGGCTGAATGTGGAGTGGAGGCGGAGGTCAGGATTCTTCAGGCTGCAGGATGGAGGCAGCCTCTCTATCTGGGCCATTCCCTTCTGTCTTCAAGGACAGGGACCTCCTGCTGAGTCTTCCTGGGAACCTCAGGAACACACAGGGACATAGGCTGCTCTAGCCTGATGGCTCCCATGGAAAGAAATGACAATTACTGGGGTGTTGTCCTAAAAAGGCGGCCCAGGCTCCGTCCTGCACTGTTTGGGTATCAGTCTTGACCTAAGCAGTGTGACCTGAAGATGGGATTTAATCCTTCTGTCCTTGACTTTCCCACGTGAGACAGAGGGTTAGCATCTTCCTTTACCTACTGAGGTACTGTAGAGGCTAAAATGGGCATCAGCTCCCGTGAAGCCCTTAAATCTAACGGAACATCCCAGAATCCCAGAATAAATGGCAAGCAGCACAGGTACTGAGGCCCTAGGACCACGCCAGCAGGCTTCTCCTATAGATCCAGAAACTGAGCCCAGGGCCACGGACTGTGCTGTGAGGCAAGCTGAGGTGCACGCCTATGTCAACCACACCCTGCTATGCTCGGACACGTGTGTCCGTGTCTTGGGATCTCCTCCCACAAGGAACCCATGCCTGTGGAGACACGGGTGTCATCTTACCATGATCTCCATGGAACTCCAGCGTGATGTGCCCCAGTACATGGCCATCCCCTGGTTGATGACGTGGGTCATGGCCCGCACGGTCTCTGTGAGAGAGAAGGGAGAGAGCATGGGTTGGGGTGGCTAGGGGTCAGGCCCAGCCTGGGGACGGTCTGCAGATGCAGGTGGGGGTGCCGGGAGGAGGGAGCAGGCTGCAAAGGCATCTTGCAAGCAGTGTACTTCCTGGCTCCCAGGGTCGAGTGTGGGTGTTGGGGAGCGGAGATTCCAGGAGAAAAGAAAATGGAATTGAAATCCTGAAGACAAGTTCTCTGAGCAGGTGAGGCTTGCCAGGATCCCTGGAAAAAGGCTTTGTGAGTAGTCTGATGTCCCTATGGCTGGCAAGGGGGTGAGAGAAGGGGAACCCCAAGAGTGGGCCTCAGACTCTAGGATGAGGAAGTGGGAATCCTGGTCATTCAGTGGACCAGCTGGGTGGATAAAGGCTAAACAACCAGACCAGCCACGGCAGTGATGTTAGCAATGCTTGCAAACACAGTTCTAGTCACTGAAAGCCATTCCCACCGGGATCCTCAGGGCTTCGCAGAGAGGGAAGATGGCGCCGTGGGGACAAAGGCAGGCCCTTGAGGCTGGGGCTCTTGGGACCAGCGTTTCTTGTTCCTGTGCTTGGGGAGCTGGAAGCAGAAGTGAAAAGGTTTGGGCAGGGCATGCCCAGGCTGCAGTCTTCCTCAGGGCAATGGGGGTAGGAGGGTGGGTTTAACTGTCCCTTCCGGGAGGGGCCGAGGTCTGCAGCAAAGAGTTGCGAGGGTCCACAAAAGCTGAGACTCACGACATCCTAAGGAGTGAATGGCTGAGATGCTCCCACCCCATCCTCTACAGTAAGAGCGGGACTCTCCCCACCCCAACAGCACACGTGCCATCGAATTCACAGGTCTGGGGGGCATAAAAATCTGCCAGCTGGAAGTGTGAGAGGGATCAGATGGGAAGAATAGGGATGATCAGGAGTGGGAGGGGGAAAGGGAGTGATGGGGGGGGTGATCGAAATACATGATAACCATGTAGAAAAATGTCACAATAAGACCCATTATTACATACAGGAAATTTGAGCTAATTTTAAAAACCCTGCCACTTGTAGGCCTTCTCCCTTGGCCATTTAGCTTCTTAGAGATGTGTTGGCTCTGAAAACGGAACGGGGTCTTGGAGGGGTGAGGGATGGCTCCATGGATTTCTCACAGGTCTGATACAATGCTTGCAAGGTCAACAGCCAAAGGCAGGGTAGAGGTATAGAGGAGAAGTGTTTCTAAAAACATGGGGGTAACATCTGCCTCGCTTCTGAATGTCCCCGCCCCACCCTAGCAGCCGCAATTCCAGGCAATGGGAGGGATCGCGAGAGAGGGGGAGAAGAGAACAGCAGAGCCGTTCTGATGGCCTGCCTCGAAACACCATTGGGTCCACAGGACCTTCCTTGCATGGGGCATAGTGTTGGCTTCTGTCTGCCCTGTTTTTGGGGTTGTCTTACTTCTTACTCATTCTGGGTCCCTAAGTACTGCTTTGGCTAAGGTCTATTCATGGTGGACTCCAGGGCATCCTATCTCTGGGGCTAAGGCCACTGGGATTCTGGCAAAATGGTCCCAGTAGGTTCACCCAGAACACCAGGGAAATTATATCTTACTTCTGCCCCTGCAGGGCAACTCTGCCCCGCCCCACCTCTTCTGAGGTCGGGGACTGTGACTCTCTGGGGTCTTCTTTACCCTACCTAGATGAGGGACATATGAGAAGGGAGTTTGGGCCTTCTGGAGCCTTCCCTGAGTCACTGCCTTTAACTGACATGTTTGACATCGGGAAGAGGTCAGGAGACCTAGAGACCCCGGGTCCTACTCCATGGAGCCCAGGCTCCTAGACAAGCTGCCCTTGTGAAGATTTTTAGAAACACTCTTGGAGGCACCTGAGACCATGCAGTATGGTTTCCCTAGTCTTCTCAGCCAAGGCTTAGGTCCACATGCCAGAGGTAGGGAAGCTGAGAGGGTGGCACACATCGGCCGCTCCCCCCCAGCCTCTCCTGGAGCTGTCTGGTCGTGGTCATGAGGATCACAGCCAGGGAGAGTGCGCGATGCTCTTCCCATGCAGTGAGGGAGATGGAGACAGTGCAGAGCCTGGGAATAAGGCTGATGGGCCAGGAGCCTGCTGTGACTGGCTATTCTGAGGGGTGGGGAAAACCTAGGCAGCTGGGGGTCTGGCCAGAGGCAGGCTAAATGTGGGACGCAGGTTTAGGGGCACAGTGCACCTGCGCCCCATGTCAGCGAACCCAGAAACAGTGACACTGAGGGACAGCTGTCTTTCACCTCAATAATTAATGCTGCTCGACAGGAGCAGGGATGCTAAATCCTCCCAGCTGCGGCCAAAACCCACAGCATCTCTGCAGCATCACAAATAATACATGGGAGGGGTCAGGTGGCAGCACCAGGTGGCAGGCAGGAGCCCTTCCAGCGTGGAATGCTGCCCGGTTCCCAGGAAAACCAAGGCCTATCTGTCAGGCAGGGTTCTTAGACTAGTTGCTGATGGGGAGGGGGGGCAGATACCAAGCATGGCACAAGGATGCCCTGGGCCTCAGCACCGTGCCAGCTCATATATGTATTCTTCAAGGAAGAGAATCACTCCATTTTGATCCTGGCTGCTAGATGAGCAGACTTGAGTGACCACACACGGCCAGAGTGCTCACCAGGAACCTCTGTGGTAGACGGGGCGGCTTGTTGGCTGGTGTTCTTTACCTCTGTTGAAGGCTAGAACTTACCAGGCATGAACTAGGAAAGAGACGAGTCTTAGGGGTTGCTCAGTCTGGGGTCCCAGGACCCTTGTGGAAACCTAGTCTTTTCCAACCTTTCCCATTGTACCATCCAAGGTCAGGCTCCCAGTCAGGGACTGGAGCATCCTCAGATCAAGGGAGACCCTGGCAGAAAGCCAGCCGAACGCTGCAGGTCACAGCACCACAAGCATGGAGTGGGGACATGCACACGGGGAAGGAGGGATGGATGAGAGCATGGATGGGCAGCGAGGGGCTCCAACACCATTTTGCTTTCCCTCTGCTTGCACGATGTCCTCAGGGGGCGCTTCCCCACCCCTTATGCATTTTATGGAGAAGTTTGTCATGGGGGGGGCGGGGACAGAGAGTCGTGTAAATAAAAATACTGTCTCATAAAATGCAACTCGGACACAGAAGTCAATAGTCGGCTGAGGGTACTGTGTACCTTCAATGATGAATGTCCTTGACTTGAAGGAACTAAATGGGTCCCCTGGTGATAAAAGAAAGATTTAAAGAGACCAGAGTTTATCGCTGTGGGAACACAGAGGAGTGGTTTGATTAAGGACGGGACAGAAGAGCACAAATCATCACACAGAACAGAGTGCTGCTAAAAAGGAAGAATCTCTCTCTATATATACACACACAGCAGTGTGGTATATATATAAAAGCAAATGGAGACAAAATAACCGGTCCAACTTAACCCCCCGTCCCAGAAGCAGCAAAGCATAAATGAGAAGATGCCGAGGCAGGAAGTGGGAGAGATGGAGGGACCGGGAGTCGAGGGAATAAATAAACGCTAAAGAAACACAGACAGCTCTTCAAAGCCCCGAGTGCTTACTCCCCTCCAGGTAATAACTTACGTCCCAGAGCAAAAGACCGCTAAGCCCTCCCAGGGGAACCAGAATGAAAAGAAAGAAACCGTCCCCGACAGCCGCCACTGTGCAAAATACCAACTGCTGAGACGGCACCAGAGAAGCCCTGAACACAGCCAGGATACAGAATGAGATCAGGGCCCCAGGCTCAGCCTGGCAGGGCCAGGGCCTGCCTCTTCCCAACCCAGAGGCTTAGCCACCTCTGTCCTGAGCACTTTGTCCTGCATGAACCGGCTAGGGGGTAACTGGCTGACCTACCCTCCATGGGCGTGTTGGGGTCTGGGCGATTGGCGAAAACCACATCCACATAGTCCAGCTGTAGTCGCTCCAGGGAAGCCTTCAGTCCTGGGAGAAGAGTGGGAAGGGTCAGCACTGTCGGTGCCTGCCTCAGGGGCAAGAGTCAGAAGAGGGCAGGCCCCTGTCATGTGGAGCTTTAGGACAGGTGAGGGTCTTGAGGACATGACAAGACAGGAGGCACATCCTAAAGGGAGTGGGGGGGGGCACCCTGGCTATTCCAGGGGACATCAGGAGAACCACAGGCTAAATGTCCTGAGACCCTTGGGCCACTTCCAGGACCTGTGGTCTGCACAGAAACAAGCAAAGCTTGGCATGGCATCACACAAGGAGAGGGGGTACAAAAAGAGGGTGGTGTAACACACACATCACCACACACACACCTCCTAGCAGCTCAGAGCAAACAGCTAGGGTGAAGACATTGAACCTGGGGTGCGAGGGCCGGGTACCAAGCCTCCCTTCAGTTATGATGTTTCTTAATGAAAAATATTAGCTCAGAATAGGTATGACTTGGAGAGGAAGAGCCCACACCCAGACACCCCCACTCTGGGCCACATTGTTCATCATTCCCAATGCCCCCGAGTGTGTGTGGTGGGTGTGTGGGGGGTGTGCTCTCACAGCCCCACTTTCTAGACCTTCTGACACATGCTCAGGGTGTCTCACCCGGCATCATTCAGACAGTGCGAGGCTCAGCCTGGCCTGAAAGCTGACCATCTCTGCCCAGGCTCAGGTTCCCTGCTTTTCAGAGCAGAAAGAAGGGTCCGTGTTCCCCAGGGTCGAGGCCTGGGCTGGGTCACTGAAGGGAAGGCTACTATGCCTCTTAGCTATCCTTCAGAGAAGATCATGAGCCCCTCCTCGCCCAGGAGGTCACGGGCTGGGCACACCACAGTTAGAGAGAGCCCGTCCTTGCCCAGCAGGTCACAGGCTGGGCACACCACAGTTAGAGAGAGCCCGTCCTCGCCCAGCAGGTCACAGGACACCACAGTTAGAGAGAGCCCTTCCTCACCCAGCAGGTCACAGGCTGGGGACACCACAGTTAGAGAGAGCCCTTCCTCGCCCAGGAGGTCACAGGCTGGGGACACCACAGTTAGAGAGAGCCCTTCCTCACCCAGGAGGTCACAGGACACCACAGTTAGAGAGAGCCCTTCCTCACCCAGGAGGTCACGGGCTGGGGACACCATGGTTAGGGAGAGCCCCTCCTCACCCAGGAGGTCATGGGCTGGGCACACCATGGTTCGAGAGCCCCTCCTCGCTCAGGAGGTCACGGGCTGGGGACACCATGGTTAGGGAGAGCCCCTCCTCACCCAGGAGGTCACGGGCTGGGCACACCATGGTTCGAGAGCCTCTCCTCGCCCAGGAGGTCACAGGCTGGGGACACCATGGCTAGAATCCCTGCTCACCTTCAATTATGTGCTTCCGCGAAAGGCCTCTCTCTGTCTCCGCTCTGAAAAACAGGCCAACAGGGTGGGAGATGTTGCAGCCGGCTGGGGATAATGCTTACGATAAGGATGTTGGGAAAACGCAGGTCAGAACATGCGACACCTGCAGATAACAGCTCCAGGCTGAGGATCCACGGCTCAGGTACCTGGACACTGACCCCAGGTGGCAGTGAGGCACAGGGCTCTAGGCTTCAATATTACCTTGCTGCTCAGCTTGGATTTACCATTTATACTTTTTGAGACAGGTTTTCCCTACATAGCTCAGGGTGGCCTCAAACTCATGATCCTCCTGCCTCAGCTTCCCAAGTATTGGGGTTTCAGATATAAGTCCAGCTAAGGATTTTTAAAAATTAAGAACGAATATTTAAAAAAAATTTTTTTTTGAGACAGGCTCTCATGTGTCCCAGGCTAGCTTCAAATTTGTTACAAAGCCATGGATGACCTTCAACTTCTGATTCTTCGGCCTCTGAAGCGCTGCAATTATCCTCATGAACCACCGTAGCTTACAGGCTATGAGGAGGAAAACGGCTTCGTGCATGCCCGGCAGGCACTCTACTGACTGAGCCTCATCCTTAGCCCATAAATCTGCTTTATAATCTCCAGGAGATAAACTGATAACTTCCTCAAGCTCCGCAGAGAATACAGAGCCAGACACCTGGAGCTGGCAGAGGGATAGGTGGTCCAGAGACTTTAAGATGGTTTAGACAGGTCACAATTTTCTGTTTTCTAGAGTTTTAATAATGTCACCATGTAAGTAAAAATGACAATTAAACAAGGCTTGAGTAACAGACATTCAGCCAAAGCTGCTTGCAGTTTGGGAAGGGACCAAATGGGCGTGAGGTCCCCGGACTGGAATGAGTGCCAGCCTGCAGGTAGCTGTGCAGAGGCCAACATCCCCTCCTTCCTCAAGGACAACAGTGTGACCATTGCCCCGGCTTTGCCAATGGTGTCTCGGCAGGAACCGGGGCTGCAGTGGCCAGCTGCCCCTGGGGCATTGCAAACCGTGGCACTTACTTTCCTCCCCAGAAGATCTTAGTGGTGATGACGAGGCTGGACCGTCTGCAGAGCAGAAGAGAGGAGTTACTGGACTTGGCTGGCCCTTGAGGTCTTCCCTCAGCCTTCACCTAGGGGTCCTACAGCTGTCACACCTGGGAGCCTGGTGTGAAATGGGTGTTTCTGAATTGTGAAGTTCATGCCAGGTGCCAAGCGCAGGAACCAAGCACCTCAACGCTGCAGGGTATCAGGGTCTAACAGTGGAGATGCAAGGTAGGAGCAAAGGTTTGCAGGGATGGGGACAGTGGCTTCCCCATCCCTATGTGTGCGCCTCAGCCCCACGAGGGCCCGCTGAGGCAGGAGAGCCTCAAGTCGGACTCACAATGCCTGCTCTGCTGCCAGACATGGGCAGTGCCAGCTTATGCCAAAGGAGTGATGACCTAGTGTGAGTCTCTCCATACACCATCAGGGGCTTTACCTTGAATTACTGAATGGGAAGAATTTATTTGGGATTGATCAGCACCAAGGGGTGCGAGAGAAGAGGGGGAGGGTGTCAGGAACCCTGTGGTGTGAGGTCTGGTCACCGAGATTCTGAGTGACCATCAGGAAGGTCAGGGAGGAGGAGGGAAGGTCCAGCTTTACTGGGGTTCTTGGGATATAGGGCAGGACTCGGCCTAGACTGACAGTCAGGGATCTGCTTGAGTGGGTGCTTTGGGTTCTGTGGTATCTGAATGAGAATGGTCCCTGCAGGCTCATGCCTTTAAATGCTTGGTTCCCAGTTAGTGGAACTCTTTAGGAAGGGTTAGGGGTGTGGCCTTGTTGGGGATTTGTCACTGGGCTGGCTGTGAGGTTTCAAAAGCCCACACTAGGCCCAGGCTCTCCTTGGAGGCCTGCAGCTTGTGGATCAGATGTGCCCTCAAGAAGTGAGCTCTCAGGTGCTTCTCCAGCACCATGCCTGGGTGTGTGCATGCATGCCTGCCTGCCTGCATGAGTGCCACCATGCTCCCCACCATGATGCTAATGTACTAAACCTCCAAAACTATTGGCCAGCTTCCAATGAAATGCTTTCCTTTATATCATTATAAATGAAATTATAAATCAAGACATTTCCTTGTCTTGATCATGGTGTCTCCTCCTAGCAATGGAATAGTGACTAAGACAGACTCCTATCCCGCTGTCTTTGAGCTCCGCCACCTTCGAATCCTCGTGGGACATGATTTGCAGGGTGCTGGGCTGAAGCCTGCCACTCCCCAGGTCCAGCATGGCCTGGCCAGGCCACATTGGTGATTTACAGACCCAGACAGTCTGTCTTCTGCCGCACACTGGTCCCTTTACAGACGCAGACAGTGAGCTCCTGAAGGTCGGACTATCTCTGAGGTCCTTGGACAGAGAGGCTGGAGTTCAGCTAAAAGGCCGTCACACTTGACCCTCTGCGTGGTGTCCCTGTCACGCCCAGGCTACCTGGGAATGCCTACTGTGTTCAGGAAGTTCATCCCATGAAGCTCTGTGAACGGACCGGGACAAAGGACAGCATCACTTCTGCCTCAGAGAGCTGGACTTGCACCATGGGGACATGGTGAACACTGGTACCCTGGCCTTAACTGCTTCCATGGCACCCACTGTGTGTGAAGGCTCACTCCCTCCAGACAGGCTGGAAGACACTTCTGGGCTGAGTTCTCCCTTTCCAGCAAGGAAAACTGGGCAACTTGAGATTTCAGCAAGGTTGCCCAAGGACGCCACAGGTGGTACTTTCCACGAGCATGACGGGGTTTCACCTGGCGGAGAATGCCCGTGAGTGCCTGCTTCTTCTGCCTCCTGTGTACCACTCTGTCTCATTTACACCCTGCTGGGAACTGAACCCAGGCCTGGAAAAGTACTCTAGAACATTTTCAGCCCTCGGCAGGGCTCTCGTTACTGCCTAACCTACTGGTCCTCGCAGGGTACTGAATTAACTTTTCTATTAAAGGGGAGAGAGGGGGAGAGAGAGAGAAGAGGCTGGGGGAGCTGGCTCAGTGAATAAGGGTGTGTGCTGTCAAGCTAGGAGCCTTGAGCGTGAGTCCCTGAATTCACACAGTAGAGGAAGAAGAATCAGCTTCCACAGGTTGTCATTTGACCCCAACATGCACAATGTGGCACATACCTACCCCATGGATATAAATAAACGTAATGATAAAAAATAAATAAAAGAGCGCACAAGCAGCTGATGGACCACCCCTGTGGTAACCAGCAGAGACCAGTCCCCAAACACTGCCCGGTTCTCACTGCAGTGCTGGCCAAGCCCAGGCTTGCCCCAGGCAGATGGCCTGCCCACCCCAGCCAGGAACCCCAGGATGCATGCGCCTCTCCTGCCATGCATACTGCCCTCCCCCAGCCTCCCTTGCGTGCCCTGGAGACAGACCGCAGAGATAATTACCTCCATCCCTTCTTCTTAATGATGTTCCCTAATACCACTTCAGCCCTGCAAAGCAAGAGAGAAAGAGAGGCAGACATGGGGATTTCATCTATGCATAACGGAAAAAGAAGAATCAAACCCAGCCCCACCGTGACAATGAGCCATCGGGTCCCCTCTGTGAAAATGCCACTGGGGTTGGAATGCCAGGCGCCTATGTGGCCTCGGCCCAGTGGCTCATTCCAGAAGGGGTGAAGCCTGCAACTGCCCAGGACTGGCAGCAGGGGTGGGGGTGCAGGGCACTGCTGGAAAGGTCCCCAGGACTGGCTTCCTCCGCCAGCTGCAGGTACACCGGGGAAAATCCTCGGCCAAGGGACGTGGGTAAAATGTTCAGGTGAATTTATGTTTAAAAGGCAAGCTGTGCTCCAGGTGTTCTCGGCAAACGTCTCTGTATGCAGAGACGGTGCACTTCCTGGGGCCAGCGCGGGGCTTCCAACAAAGCCTGTGTGTGCCTGTGTGCGCACATGCGTGACTGTGTGTGCACACGCGTGACTGTGCGTGCGTGTTTGCGTGCAGTTCGTTCTTCTCTTTAAACAACAGAGAGCCGCCCAGCCCACTGCCTGTTCTTGGCAATGGCTCAGGGTCCTGCTTCAAGCCGGGGCCAGCTGGGGTCACAAGCTGGCTGTTCCAGCTTGGCACAGGAGTGCGGATTAACTTTTAAGAACTTTCTGCTTGTAGCAAAATGTTTCTGAGCAAAAACAACAGACGGAAAATGATCCAAACCCAGCGCTACATTCCAATTATAAAAGCGCCTGAGTCATCCACTCAGAAATAATGGGCTCTAATTTGCAAGCTGTTTAGCATATATTCTGAATGCCCCTCATTTATGGTCAGGACGTACTGAAAATTCAATCAGCTCTGGCCTCCTTTCATTCCTTGGTCCTCCAATTTGTCAGACAAAAGACCAGGAGAGGAGGAAGATGATAGTGAGGCTGCCTGAGTGGCTAACCCAAGCCTCCCGCTTGCAATCTTGGTTGCAAGTTACGAATGTAGGCACAGAAATACTGCAGGTTACTGAGAAGCACACAAATTACTGTCAGAAAGATATGTGTGTGCTCACCCCTGGTCAGCGAGGGGGCAGCTCTGACTGACTGCTGCTGGAGCTACGGCTAGCCCCTTGGTCAGAGAAGCTTGGCCTGGCCCCAAGGCATAGTGCACAGCTTCTCAGTCACATTGGCTGCTAGTGTTAAGGTTTCTCTGCAGTGTGAGCAGGCTGGCTTAGCTATGGGCTGGACTGTGGAGCTACAGCAGCTGACTGAAGAGCTGAGGGTAGCAGGCTCCAGAGGCAATGCCATTCAGAGCAGAAAGCTTTCGCTTAAGACCTTGGCTTCTAGCAAATGGCTCCTGAGAGGCCCCAAGGATGCTCAGTGTCTGGCATGGCTGTCCTGGCATGCCAGCTTTGAGTGTCCAGTTAAACAGAAGTGAAGGCAGTGACAGAGTAGAGTTTGGGGAATGCTCAGTGATGGGGCCATCTGGAGATGAAGGAGGTGGCATCAATCTGTGTTTGCTCTCCTGGGCAGCAAAGCCGAGGCAGGAGCTGGGCCAGGGAGGAGACGGGGAGATGCTTCTGGGCTGGGCATCTGCACCAGGCTTTTCAACCTCTGGCTGCTCTGCCCAGCTCGTCTGTCTAGAGAGCATCTTGCTGTGACTGGAAGCTGCTGTCTGGTTGGAGGAGGGGGTGGTGGGATGTGGTATAGAAAAGACCCAAGCACTGTTGACGGAGGCTAAAGGGGGTGGGGGAACAGCTGTCAGCTCCCCAGGCCCTTGGTAGGGATTGGGCAGTGGTCCAGCTGGGTTCCCTGATGCCTGGTGCCATGGGTCCCGCTCTAGGCAGCAGGTCAGATCCCAAGGCCCATGGAGCAGGTGCTGGCCCTGCGGCCATGGCACATAGCAGGTCAGGGCTGCAGCCAGCCCAGCTGATGGGAACTTGGCTGGCTCCAAGCAGGAGCGGGCTGTAGGGAGGACAGAGAGGGAGCCAGAGAATGATTTCACCAACAAAAACTGACTTTTGGAAATGTGATGTACGAGACCAGATGATTTGATTTCAGCCCGTCTTTAAAATCGAAGCCAACAGCTCTGGCTGAAGAGCACTGAGCCTTTGTATAATCGAGTTGGAAAGTTCATTGTCAAGACGGAAAGCGCTTCCTTCGCACGGAGGTCTGCCAGGACCTGCCCGCTCCAGCTTGGAAAGGCTGTCTGCCCCACAGCCCCTATTGCATCATTAAGACACGAACAGGCCAGGCTCATGGGGCTCCAGCTTACCCACACAGCTGGGGACAACAGTAAATCCCGGCTGCAGCCCAGCACTGTGCCTTGTTAACCTCGGTGCCAGGGCACACAGAGAGTCAGGTGAGCAGCCAGTGCCTGAGTGTCCCGAGGCTGGCCCCATCCAAATATCTCCTAGGATCACTTAGACTTTTAAAAAGAAGACAGAGTGGTAGACACTATCATGAGTGCCTGGGAGGGAGAGACAGGAACTGGAGATGTGGCTCTCTGAAGGTGTCCTGTGCCACTTCTCTTTCAGTGAGAAAGGTACATACTTGCCAGCAGCGTAGACCTCTGCGGTATCGAACAGGTTGATGCCATTGTCATAGGCCAGGGTCATGAGGTGCTCTGCCATCTGAAATGACAAAACCGGAGCTGGTGGGGCCAGCACTGTCGTTCCAGCTCCAGGGAGGTTCTAGGCAGGGGTTCTCAACCTTCCTGATGCTGTGGCCCTTTAATACAGTTCCTTATGATGTGGTGATCCCTGACCATATAACTATTTTCATTGCTACTTCATAACTGTAATTTTGATACTGTTATGAATTGTAATGTAAATCTCTGTGTTTTTCCAATGGTCTTAGGCAATCCTGTGAAAGAATCATTGGAACCCAGAGGGGTCACGACCCATAGGTTGAGAACCACCTCTCTGGAGCACCAGCCCTGTGGCCTTGATGTTTCTCCTTCCTGGCTCCTCTCTCCTCTGCCATTGCACAGGGAGGCAACAAACCCTTTACAAAGGATAAAGATGGCAAGACAGATGAGGGAAACAACCTGCTGGCTATGAATTTTTTGGGACCATCATGGAATGTGGCCCCTGTATTGGGCCCCCAAAATTCAAATGAACCAGAAACTCAGGATGGGACCTTATCTGGTAGCAGGGTATTTGTGAATGTATTTGCTAAGATGGGGCCACACGGCCTCCTAGCGGGCTAGCCATGCCGTCCAATGTGACTGGCATGTTAGTGGGAAGGCTATCTGGAGGCAGAGCACTGACAACAGCAACATGCCTACAAGCCAAGATATGCCCCCAGGAGCCGAGAGAGACAGGGGCAGACTCCTCCTCCAGGCCTCTGGAGGGACCAGGTCTTGACTGAAGATATGTGATTGGCAGCACCTTGCCATGTCAGTCATGAAAACCAGTGGCCAGTCGTAGTAGGATGCCCCCCCCTTTAAGATTTATCTGTGGATTTATCTGTATAAGGATATACCTCTCCCAGCTACCATGGGAGAGCTGCACACTGACCACAGAGGGTCCACAGCCATTCTAGTGGGGTTGAGGGTCATGTGGCCTCTGCTGGCATTTCTCTAATATGACACGTGGGTGGCATCCTGGCCATCCAACCAACCTCACTGCTGGCTAGATGGTGAGGGAGAATTGTCTGTATTCTGTCAATCATGTTATAAATAAATGCTGATTGGCCAGGCAGGAAATATAGGCGGGAAAACCAAACAAGAAGTAGAAATGATGTAATGAGAACAAGAGAATTCTGGGAAGGAGGAAATTGATTCCTACCTCTCCTGCCCAGACCACTGAAGCAGCAGGATGTGATCTGCTCCACTGAAAAAGGTACTGAGCCACATGGCTAACATAGATCAAAAAATGGGTTAATCAAGATGTGAGAGTTAGCCAGTGAGAGGCTAGAGCTAATGGGCCAATCAGCTTATAATTTATGGAGACCTATGTGTGATTTTCTTTGGTGCTAAACAGTTGTGGGGTACCAGGCAGGACAAAAACCCCAACAACAAGCAGGCCTGGCCCTTCATGTTACAGCTAGATCTTGAGCTCCCAGAAGGGTTACCTTTGTTTCATAACAAACAGCAATTGGTGGTGGGTTCGGCTATCAAGGAAGCTGGGAGCACACCTGTGACCAATGGCCCCCACCGAAATACAGCAGAGAGAAGAGCCCCGAACGCTGCAGTTCTCAGAGGGCCAAACCTATTCATGCAGTTCAGGCACCAGACCTCCTTCCCCAGTCAGCCCAGAGCGGCTGGACGGTTCCAGCCTCCTGCTTGGTTCTCTGGTATCCAGTAGGAAAGAGGCATCTGTGTGAGCGCATGCATGCATGTGTGCATGCCCGTGTGTTTGTGTGTGCACATGGCATGTGTGTGTGTGAGCGTGTGTGCATGCTGATGGACTCTGGGAGTGAAGGGCACTGCTAGGGGAGTGGACCCATGCCCAGTGGTGGTCATGGGAATGTGGATTTGGTGCTGCTAGATTTCCTGATTCGTCAGGGGATCCGAGATATCCAGGCTGTGATAAAACCTAATTTCTAAAACCTGCAGCTACTTCAGTGTCTGATGCAGAGCCACAGCTGCTGGGGTCTGAGAGCCAGAAGGACCAGGGTGATGAGGCTCTGGAGATCAACCTGCAGGGAGCTTTGCTGCCTTTTCTGCTGCAGCTCAAGTGTGGGCATGTCAAATGCATGGTTACTGTTGCTCTCTGTGGCCTGATGTAACCGCTGAGCCTTTTCTCCAGAGTTGCCCACCTGAGGAACCTCTGCTCGCTCTGGGCATGTTCTCCTGCAATGCCAATGCACGGGCAAGTGTGGTTTGTTCACAGGTGTGTTCTGTTGCTTTCACCACGATCTTTCCCAGATGTGTCTCATCAGGCAGCCCGAGCCATGCCCAGGGCAACACTGCATGCTGCACCCCACTGGGTAGGGGCCATGTGGCCTCCCTAGAGGGTTTCTGAGGCTCATGGCTTGCATTTTTGTCCTCTGAGGACTTATTTGTTTGACAGGCACGTATTTCTGCCCTATCCTATCAGCCTCCCAGAAAGGAGGCTGCAGCTGCTCTGTACTTCATCTCTAGGGCATCCTGGGGACCAGCTCAAGGTGGTTCCTGAGAGCTTCGCTCCTCCCCTCGCTTTACATTAGATGTACACTTCCTGGAGCTGGGATGTGGCTCAGCTGGCAGAGCACTGGCCTAGCAAGCCTGAGCCCTAGGCTCAGTTTCTAGGAACAAACAAAGCCAGGAGTGGCGGCGGTACCCACCTGTAACCCCAGCACGCAGCAGGGTGAAGGCAGGAGGACAAATTCAAGGTAATCCTTGGTTACATAGTAAGTTCAAGGACAGCTGGGAATATGTGAGACTGTCTTTAAAAATGTACTACTGCCAGGCAGTGGTGGCGCACACCTTTAATCCCAGCATTTTGGGAGGCAGAGGCAAGTGGATCTCAGTGAGTTCAAGGCCAGTCTGGTCTACAAAGAGAGTTCCAGGACAGCCAAGACTGTTACATAGAGAAACCCTGTCTCAAAAAGCAACAAAAAATGTTCTTATTAAAATCTGTATGAAAAATTTTCCATGCTAACCCTAAAACATTTTTTGGAGGGGGATGGAGATGGCTCAGTGGTTAACAGCCCCTGTTCTTGCAGAGGACCAGGTTTGGTTCCCGGCACCTGCATGCCGGTTACATCTGTAGCTCTAGTTCCAGGGGACTGACGCCTCTTCTGGCCTCCTCATGTGCTTGCCTGTGGTGCATATCCATGTATGCAGGCAAAACACTCAACACACATAAATCAAACTAAAGACGATAACTCTGAGACAGAGTCTCACTATGTCGTCCAAATGTTCCTCAAACCCAGGCTCTTTCTGCTCCAGCCTCCTGAATGCCAGGACAGTGGCAGTTGTCACCCATTCAACAATACTGTCACACGTGTGCTACTGTGCAGCCAGCACCACCATCCTCCCCAGAACGTTCTCGGCTTCACGACGGTATGGCAGCTCCACAGATACTGGTGGGTAGCTGTCGTGACGTCACAGCACAGGCGCCATCAAACCTTTTCTCACTGGGACAGATGTTTAACGGCTCAAACAGCTTGGGCTAGATAACCTGTCCGGGACTCAGCTTTGTCCTTGCAACAGAAGCAGCCACAGACGTGTCAACCAATGAGTGTGACTGTGTGTCGATAAAACTTTACTCACAAAGACAGAGTGCAGACTCACAGAGACAGGAAGTGGATTAGAGGTTAGCAGGGACTGGGAGAGTTACCGCTCGAAGGTGTGGAGTTTCTGTTTGGAAATGGAAGTCACGCCTGCACAGCAACATGAAGACACCCAATGAACTACACCCCTAAAATGATTAAAATGGTCATTATGTCTAAGGGTGCCCTATGTACTTATGCATCGGGCTAAGGGGCAACCGTGGGTGTCATTCCTAGGTTACTGTTCAACTGTCCACCCTGACTCATTTCAGTCTCTCATTCGTCCGCAGATGCTGCTAGGCTGTCTGGCCGGAGATCCCCCCATGTCTACTGCCCCAGCACTGGGATTTCAAGTACACACTGCCATGCCCCCCTTTTTATGAGTTCTGGGGATTCAACTTGCTGGTGAACACTTTAATGGCTGAGCTACCTCTCCGGCCCTAACATGGTAAATTTTATGGTTCATATATCTAAGCAAAAGTTCTCAGGATAGGGAGGAAAGCAGTCCACAGTAGTCTTGGCTTCCTGACTGGCTCTTACCCAAACAGGCAGAGAACAAATACTCTGCCCTCATCACACGACACAGCCAGGGGCCCCTAACACTTGGCATATTGATTTTTTTTCCCCTACATGAATTGCAGGATCTGATACAAAAATCCTTGTTCCTTTACTACGTTGTTTTTGTCTGTGGCATCCTCCCAGGACCCGAACTCTGTCATCTACTTCTCCTCCTGATTGATGTCATCAAGGTGTGACCCCCAGCATCTTTATCCTTGTCATCCCGTCCATGTCTGAGACACGAAGGGGGGCAAAGCCAGCTGGAGCTGACATCTGAGATTCATTCATCAATACTCCCAGTGCCACAAATCTGTTGGTGACAGAGTCGCTTGTCCACAAGGACACCATGCCCCGTGGCTAGTGTCTCCCTCCAGAGTCCTCCTACCGACTATCAGCAGCCACCCTGAATGGGGGATAAGGCTGAGTCAGACCTGACTTGTTTGAGACAAACCACACGTGTCCCAGGGCTCCAATTTCTACTCTGAGCTCTGGGGACCAGCGTCACCTTAGAAGCTCCCGACTCACCCTGAGTCTTCAGCAGCCTCAGAGCGCAGGACAAATGGTTCAATGACCAGCTATTGTTATAAAAAAAAAAATCAAGTACGAAACCACACACTGCATTTAAATCTCTGCGGAAGCCAAGTTTTCCCTAAAAACTGAGCAACTGCAGCTAATAAGGTCTCAAATGGACTCGCTTATTAATTTTTAAACATGAGCCTTTCTACTGGGCAAGCAGCGGCTGAGATGGTGCAGATGCCGGGAGCTGTCTCTCTGACCTCCCTCTGTGCGGAAGGGCACCCCTGTCCCGACAGGGCCTGTAACACCAGCAGCACTCAGATCTGCTTTTCTTAGCGTCACCTTGGGTCCCAATGGTAGATAAGCCCCAGAAGACAGCAGTTCCCAGTAGTCAGAGGAAATGTGGTCAGGAGCATGGCGGGCTGACAGCCCACATGGGTTATGTGTGGATGGGTCACTCATACTCAGAGGGGGCCCAGCTTTGTCACTGGGAAAACACGGGCCTTGAATTAGGGGTGAGCTGCGGCACAGGTGTCACGTCCATGAGAACCCTGGACTCCCAGGATCCCACAGTTCTCAGCTGTGCCACCAGGTGCAGCACCTGTCTCAGCCACCACCCCTTAGCCTGTTTGACTACGGGGGCAGGAAACCCCCAACACAACGAGAAAGAGGCTGCCACAGTGGCTTCCGTGAGCACACACAGTCCCTAGTTTATGCAGGGGACTTAACCGTGTGCTTGGGGCTGAGGGCTCCCTGTCTTACCTCATCGGTGATCTGGCCCCCGAAGGTCACCCATGTTCCTAGAAGGAGACATACAGGCTCAGGTGAGATAATTTGACAGTAGGTGAGAACAGTCTTGTGGGTGCTCAGACTTTAAAGCGTAGGGCATCGGGTCAGACACAGCCACATGCCACCCACTGTCTGTGTGGAGCACATCCTGTGTGTGTGGATACCTGGCCTCTAGGTGAATCTCCAAACAAAGCTAACAGTAGTCTCTCTATAGGACAGAGAGCTTGGTAAGCCGAGGAAGGCTGTGGCCTCTAAAGTGTCCATCTGGAGCCAGGTGAGGAGGCTGAGACAGGAGGACCGCCCTGAGTGTGAGGCCAGCGTGGGCTCTAGTGTTGGTGTGGTGCCGTCCCAGAGAGCGGACCGAGGGTGCTTCCCTGATGACAGGCTCTGCCTGCAGAGGGTTAGGTGTGGGCGTTAGGGTGGGAGGGGTAAAGAGTGCATTTGCCTTGAAGGAGGGAAACAGGGGGTTCTGAGGACTGAGCTGACATCCAGCAGAAGGAACAGGGCAAGACCGAATGGTCTTTCCTGGGGACTGTCTCTCTGAAGTGACAGGCTTTCCTGGGGACTGTCTCTCTGAAGTGAGGCTTCGAAGCCAGAAAGCAAGCTTCCTGGTTCAGTGAGCGTCAGGGGCTGCTCTGACTTCTGGGTAGAAGTGAAGGGCTGTGTGCAAAGAATTCTCCTGGCCTCTCCTGGCTAAGGCTAAGGTTCTGTCCCTTCCTTTTTTTTCCCAGCTACTGGTTGCCATGGCAACCTAATCTCCCAGAATTGTAGGCTCTCAGTGTTGCTCTCTGTTAAGGGTGGTGCTGACTCGTTCGAAGCCCCCCTATCCTTGTTCATGAGGGGTCCTCATACTTACCAAGCCCCAGGCAGGAGACCCGGAGGCCGGATTTGCCCAGGTTCCTGAAAAAAGAAAGATTGAGTCAGACCTTGGCTCGGGCAGGAAGGATGCCTGCTTCCACCCAGTCATTTCTGATTTCTGAAAGGCACACAGAATCATCCGAGGGAGGCCTCTGCTAAGCGGCCATGGGGTGACATGCCAGTTGTTCCCCAGGACCACATGGGGCTCACACAGGCCCGCAGAGCTGCTTCCAGGGCAGATGATGACAATAACAAGGGCTGTTGTTGTGATGGGCAGGTTGCGAGGTGACTGACTCGGGTCTGTGAGTGGCCGCAGGGTCCAAAGCTAAGCTCCCTCTTGAGGGTGCATTTGCCACCTCTATTATGGGTTATTTGTCCCTCCTTGAGAACAATGACATGCAGTTCGTCCTGCTTCATCTGAGCCTTTGCCCTTCGATGTCCCAAAGGCCAGTGGTGTGGGCGGCACTGCGGTTCCCCAGCAGGGTGGCTCTCACTGTGTCATAGCCTGGCAGCCCATGAAATAACCTCTCATGCCCACTGAGGCTCCTACCTGGTAGGACACACCTTAGCAGATGGACAGGTTTTGGGGTGATCATTACTGTTCTTAGGAGGCTGTAGAGGGTGAGACACTTCTGCCAAGTCTGGGTCATCTGTCTGTCCTTGTACCGGCCAGCCTGGACCCCCACCCCAGGAGCAACAGCACATCAGGGGCTCTTAAACATCCTGCTAGCTGTAGGGTGGGTCTCATGAGTGCCTAAGGCAGAGGACAAACAGAGGACAGCCTAGGAAGTGGGGATGTTCCCCTTGGCAGCCAGCTCAAGCTACCCACACAGTGGTCCATGAGCACCCACACAGTGGTCCATGAGCACCCATGCCTGGCCTGTGTGTTGGAGACAGGGGCATGAGCTGCCCACACGGTAAGGTGGACAAGTGACTGGGTGCCATAGCTCTACCCCGGCCCTTGCCCTTTTAGGGCTGGACGCCGCTTCTCTCATGGGCTCCTGCCGCTCCATGTATCCCTATGCTCCCCAAGGGCCAGCCACTCCTAGGGCCAGCTGGGCACTTCCAGCAAGGATGCCGGCTACTGTGAGAACGGGTCACACAATTCCCAGGTCTGGTGCTGTCACAGGACATTGACTTACGTGTATTTTGTTTCCCAAAGAGGCAGCTGCCCAAGACAGAGTGTATGACATATGAGATGTTTCTCTTTATACAAAACCATCAATGCACACTGCAAACAGGCTCGAATGAACCATGGTGGCATGGTCCCAGGACTTTCTTTTTGACAGGGATTTCTCTATTATGTAGCTCTGGCTGTCTTGGAAATCACCATGTGGACCAGGCTGGCCTCAAACTCACAGAGATAAATCTGTCTCTGATTTCACCTCTGACTCCCAAGTGCTGGGATTAAAGGTGTGTGTCACAATGCCTGGCCTGGTCCCAGTATTTGGAGGTCTGAAGCAAGGGGATTGCTGAAAGTTTGAGGCCATCCTGGGCTGCATAGCAAGATCCTGTCTCAAAAACAAAAACAAATAAAAATCCAAAACAACAAACCTCCCAAACTTAATAGATAGTAATATTTATGCATTAAAAAGAGAAATGAAGCCGGGCTGTGGTGGCGCGGGCCTTTAATCTCAGCACTTGGGAGGCAGAAGCAGGTGGATCTCTGTGAGTTCAAGGTCAGCCTGGTTTACAAGAGCTAGTTCCAGGACAGGCTCCAGAGCAACAGAGAAATCCTGTCTCGAAAAACAGAAACAAAAACGAGAGAGAGAGGGAGAGAGAGAGAGAGAGATAGATAGAAAGAGAGAGAGAGAGAGAGAGAGAGAGAGAGAGAGAGGAGAATGTTTCTGGGCTTTCCCGTTATAAATCAGTGAATTCAAGCCAGTGGTGCCCTGAGTACTGTCTATCAGCACCAGGCCACCCGTAGACCCGGGCATCTGGAGCTAGCCTGAAAGGCAGGGTTGTATCACATCTAGATTCTGCAGGGCCAGATCCGGACAGAAAGGAACTGTAGTGGAATGTGACCAAAGTGCCCAGAAGGGGCACACTGATCATGGAGACGCAAGGTTTGACAGCTGCCACAGTTAGATTGATTGCTGATAACATGACCAAGGGCTGGAGAGATGGCTCAGTGGTTAAGAGCATTGCCTGCTCTTCCAAAGGTCCTGAGTTCAATTCCCAGCAACCACATGGTGGCTCACAGCCATCTGTAATGAGATCTGGTGCCCTCTTCTGGCCTGCGGGCATACACACAGACAGAATATTGTATACATAATAAATAAATAAATATTTAAAAACAAAAACAACAACAAAAAAACCATGACCAAAAGCAACTTGAAGAGGATGGGTTTTTGTTTTGTTTTTGGCTTACTTAATCCTGGTTACCGAACACAGAGAAGCCAAGGCAGGAACTCAAGCAGAAGCCATGGAGGAGCGCTGCTTACTGGCTTGTTCAGCCTGCTTTCTTACATAACCCAGGACCACCCACCTAGAAGCGGCACTACCCACAGTGAGATGGGTCTTCCCACATCATCAACCATTAATCAAGAAAATGCACTACAGCATGTCCACAGGCCAAACTGATGGGGGCATTTTCTCAGCTGAGGCTCCTTCTTCCCAGACGATCCCGTTCTGTGTCACCCCGATAAAAAGCCAGCCAGCACTGAGGCCTTGGAGTCACATAACAGTCTGAGAAGTGCATAGAGACTACCAATCTCCTCCCTGGGAATAAGGTCACAAACACACTTAGGGTCCTGTTTGAAACGTTTCAGGGTTTGCAGAACCCTGGGCCCTCTTGGGTACCTGGTCTGGATAGAGCCAGGTGTTGAGAAGGCGGCCTGGAGCTGTCTTAACACGTGACCATAGGCAACAACTTTCTGACCAGAACAGGTCAGGAGGCAAGTTCTTGTCTGTCACCCTCCAAAAACTTTTATCAGTGTAGTGCTGGAGCTGAGACTCGAACCTAGGTCCTTACACGCTGGAACACACCGCATGTTCTGGGAGAGAGAGCAGCTTAAGAAGCAGGCAGGTGAAGACTGGGCCCACCATGCTCTTCAGCCATGAGGCTGGGCCCACCTGTGGCTGAAGAGCAGGCGCCTGTCGCCTGTCAGTTTGGGGTAGCACATCGAGAAGCCATGCACCTTAAGTCTGGTCAAGAAACAGACGAACTTCCCAAAAGGCCTCTCTCTTCTCCTGCGCATGGGTGTGGGTCAGGGAGTGTGGCTCCGGGTGGTGTCTTCATCTACTGTCCTTAGGGACACTTTAGCAAAACCAGGCCACTGCTCCATGCTGTAATTGCCCTGCTCAACTTCTTTTGTTAAATGATGGTATTAGTCCTGCCATCTGCTGCCAGGCCTGATGCCCAAGGGCAGGCGTGGGCCTTCTTGTCTTTATCTCTGAGGGGACAGTCACCTCCAGGCTAAAAGCTATATGGGAAAGGCTCCCTAGAGAGGGCAGGGAGCATCACAGAGCCAGGCCTGCACGGTGGCAGCCACCATGCTGTCACCCCAAACTTCAGGATGGAAGAATAATCTACACATTTCCCTTCTTCAATTAAAATTTGATATGATTATAAAGTAATTGGGCAAAGTCCCTAAGCCTCTCTCACCGGCTTGCTGTCTCTCTCCTGAGGCCTGGGAAGAAGCCTCTGGAGGCCTCTCAGCATCACCTTGGCCAGAGGCAAGGCAGATTCCTGGCCAGTAAACTCCTGTCCCAATGGCTGTGCCTCAGGCTTCAGAGTGGCAGGGCCCCAGGAAACAGTCTTTAAAAAGAGTTCTGGGCCTTTCAAGTTAGCCACCTGGGAGGAGGACAAAGGCTGGCTCAGGTAAAGGCAAGGCCATTCTACCTCACTATGGCTAGGGAGTGTGAGGGACAGGGATTCTGGTGTTGGCCCCCGTGCTGGGTGTGGGGTACCAGTCATGCATAGGTCTTCCCTGTACCCAGACTCCGGACCCAAGGGCAGGCATGGGACTTCTTGTCTTCAACTGCTGACTAGAATAGGGTCCCAAGGAGTGTCAACTGAGGGACGGCAATGTTGCCGCCATTTGGACATGAGCAGTACATGTCAGAGATCAGACCCTGGGGACAGAATGCTCCTCCCACCTCCACAAGCAAGTCAAAAGCTGTGTCCTTGGTTCGGGAGACCTCTGCCTCTTCCAACCCTGTGGGCCGCGAAGCGTCAATGAACAAGTACACCTGGGGTGTCTGAAGGGAAGGGGAGGTGGAAGCACCAGGATCAGGCCTATCCTTGGTCCCCACAGCCTTAACCAAATGTTAGCTGTGGCCCTGGGCAATCATTCTGTGGTCACTTGTGAGGCTGATGCCCACGAGGCACGAGAGCAGAGAGACCCCTTAAAGGGACTTGTGGGCCATGAGCTAGATACCCTTTCTTTCGGCCCCTAGGCTGCACATCTTTTACAGGAGTATGGTCCCCCTCCCTCCAGATGACAGCAAGAACACACAACCAGGTCCTGCCGTGGGGGGAGGCTGTGCTCTGCCATCAGACAGACGGGGCCTTGTGTCTAAGAAGAGCTGGGGCTGGAATTTGAACTCAGGAGTCCAGATTGAAAGCCTTTCCCTGCTGGGTCTCACCCTCCCTGACTTCAGTGTATGCACGCATACACGGACACACACAAAGACAACACATGCACACAGACACAAGTACGAAGCTACAAATATAGGTATATATGCACATAGACACACATGGGTATACACACAGACACATGCACACATGTACACACACACCACACATGGGCACAAACACACAGACACACACGGACACACATATGCACACACAGAGACATGCACATATACACTGCACACACATGATCACTGGGAGTGCTTGGGCTTCTTTGAGATCCACTTTTCCCATCACGTGGAGCTCTCTGCGCATGACACAGCGGCATTAGTGTTTAGTCCTGGCGAATCTCAGATTGACTTCAAAGTCACATCAGGTAACAAGAATCCAAACGCATGCAGAAATTCGTGCATATGCACATAGATGCATGCACACCCCTGTACATACATGCATATAAACACACATA